GGGGGGCTGGTTTTATTAAACAAACGCAAAACCCCACGAAGACATAACTCTATTAGTCTAGCACCTAAACTAATTCAGCTTGTCCATGTAGAGGTTGACACTGGCTTGCTTTATTAGTTTCAGGCTTATATATCAACCAGCCTTTAAATTTTGGACAGTGTCATGCAATGAAGTTAGATACGCAACCTGAAGGAGAACTCATATTCCTCATTCCCACTTCTAACCATAGACCGTGTAATAATAACCATGTAAATAAGAAAAAAAAAATTCATTTATTCTAGCGGAAGTTTAAATATTTTTTCACTTACTGATTGGACATATTTTACACCATGTAAAAAATTAATATTTACTGTTTTTTTCTTCCCAAAATCTTACCAAATTAAACATGTAAGCATTAGTAGGGGGATTCAGAACCATGCAAAAAACAAATTCCTGTTTCTTTCCCACAGAAAAGACATTTGTTATGTTATTTAACAGGTGTGTCTAGTGAGTTGTGTTCATACTTACTAAGAAGTTTGAAATGGCTTCTCTGAAACTTCATACAGTAATTGCTTTCCAAGAGAGTCCTAATAATGAACTTTAGCTCCTTCAGCATTTGGCATTGTCATCCTGAGAAATTATCCTTTTGCAGCCGTGGGAATGAACAGTGTGTATAATTGCCATTACATCACTTGTTGCTGATACGCTGGCTCTCTTTTCGCTCATGAACGTAAGCTGGCATTTCTCACTAGTGAGGTTATTTTTGCAGAAGTGTGGAATGAAGCTAATTACAGCGAGGGTAAAAGTAGGCTAATCCAGATAGTGTTGATTAGTTATCTTAGTTTGTTCTTTTGTGCTGACAATGTGAATTGTCATTTAAGAAAGCTTCCTTTTCCTACCTTTTGTGTTTGGTGTTTTGTTTATTGCATTTTGTTTGCTATTTTTTTTAGGAGGATAGACTCCCTTGTGATGCTGTAGAGAGCTCAACTGATCGTGCCAGTTAGGCACTGTAGTGATCGGCTGAGCAGCATCAGTGTACTCGAAGTGCTAATTTGAATAAATTTGAAGGTGCAGGTGTTCCGAACAGATTCGCTATGGTTGGCACCGTTGTCTGGCTATTTAATTTTTCCTACTTTTGTTTGGAATGGCCAATTTATACAAATATTTTCTTACACGTACTCATTATTTATGTTACTTTTTTTTTTTCAATATTTAAAAAAATTGGAAGAACTTTTTAAAATATCGTGTAGGTTCTTAAGTGCAACCCTGATCTTGCTGAAAAAATGGAGAGTTTTTCCATTGACGTTAACAGAAGTTGGGATTGTCCTGTTGGTTTTAGTGGCAAGGCAAAAATTGATTCCCTGGCTCACTGTCAATGAGTGACTTAGTGTTTTTAGCATCAGTTGCTGTATTTGGCTTCAGAGCATAATGTAAATTATAATAACTTGATTTGATTTCTGGCTCAACTGATTTTATTGTATCCAATGAGTCACATCTTCCTGCACGTATATTTGGACAAGTAGCAATTACCAGCTTGTAGAATATTTTTCTGTAATTAATGTCTACAACCTTTCAGAAATATCTCTTGAAATTGCTTCCTTTTGTTAAAGTAATGGTTTAAATGAAAGGATGTGTTAGTGAAGTATTTCAGGTGTGTGATGTTTCTTAAGCACCTGGGAAACCCTTATGAGAAATACCCAAGTATAAAAAATCATGTTTAGCATTTATTTAGAGGTATAGATTCCTGTAAAGGGACACATGTGTTAGTGGCGCGTGGGCATAATTTTATGATAAGCAAAACAGACTGTGTTGTACATCAGCTGCTCTGTTGCTTTGTATGTAATACACGTATAAATTACATTTTCAGGAGGCTGCTTGGAAAATTCTACTTTTGGTCTCCTGGCTTTGGTGCTGCTTTACCAGCTTCTTACATTGCTATTCTCATCGAAAGGAAAAGCAGGTACAGCTTGTGTTTATTAATTTTCAATTTTTTATGTATTCCTTTTTTCAGTCATTTGACAATTTAGTCACTTTTGTTTTAGAATACTGGAAATGCAGTTCATTTGAAAGAGAGTATTTAGTAGCCCTAACCTGAAGTCTAGGAAGGTACAGTAGAAAAACATTTCATGAATGTACTATTTCTTTTTTTGTGGGTTTTGTTTTCCCTTGTTTTCCCTTGTTTAATACCTAGACTGGTTGTTATCATTGCCTAATTAGGCAATGTTTATATATATATATATATATATATTTAATTTTCTTAAATAGTTTTTGCAATAAGTCACAGAAAAGAGGTTTGCTAATGAAAATTAGCAATTACACAAGTTGACAGCATGATATAGTGCCAAAGTTCAGCTATCAACAGGAAGGTCATTTAAAATATTGAAGTGGGGGGGAAAAAAGCTTTGAATGATCCAAGGATAACTGAAAGCTGCCATTTGTGATGTGGCAATGAAAACTGGCAGATTAAATCTTGGGTTGTAGGATGTTCATGTTTTGAAATGCAGCTCGTATTGGTAGCTTATATTAACAGTGCAAAATATGCTCCATTACTTTAATATGGTGCTTTAATCATCTAGTTAGTATACTTTAGTCAGAGTAGCGATGGCGACAGAAGAGTAAGATAAGGAATTACTCTTAGTTCAAAGGAGGAAATTTTAAGACTAGAGATGATGTAGATTTGCTTTTGATTACTGTGGATATCTGAAACTTTCTTATGCAGTCATTTCAGATTGATTGCAAACTCATATGCATCATGTTGTCATCTACCTGGATGATATCATTCCTGTTCCTGGAATTCACATGTGAAGTAAGCAAAGCCCAAGCTGATTTTCAGATAAGATGGTCAAAGTCTTCTCCTTTGAAGATAATACATTAACCATAGTTTCTGGAGATCAAGGTGTGTTTCTTTATGAGTAAGAAGTTCTGGAAAATTGGGAGCGCTTCTAAATCAGGTTGTTAAATGTAACTACAGAGAAAAAATGTTGAAGTAATAAAGTTAGTTTGTAAAGTAAGGTTTTTCTTTTATTTTTAAGTCCTTTCTAGCTGACTGAAGGTGGAGTTTACATGGAGACACAGTGGCATCTACAGTCATCTCCTGAATAGCTTACAAAAAACTGTATTGAAAAATTAGGGAGGAGGGAAGAAGTCTTGTTTTTAGTTCATAAACGTATCTGCAGTTCTTTAAGTTGCAGCTGGCAGCAACATCCAACTTAATCACTTAATCTCTTTCCAAGTGGATACCCTATTTTAAGTTCCTCACAGGCATTTGCTTGCACAGCATCCCTGTCAGTCCTGAACTTCAGAACCACATGCTTGTAAATCAGATTTTCCTCTGAGTATCGCTGCTTGTGTGTGCCAGACTTGTACTTTTTCTAATTCTTAGGGAAAAAATGGGAAAAAGAGATGTGCAGTCTTTGAAAGACTTCTCAAAGACCAGTTAGAAGCTTTAGAGTTTTAAAGAGGAGCATCTTTTCTAATATTTTACTGAACTAGTTTGATTAAAATTTGTAATGTAACTGTAAATTTGCATGGCACTGGCATAATAATTCACAATAAGAAGGAAAAATGGCATTGAAAAAAAACTGCAGTCAAACTCAGTGATCTGCATTATATTATTGAGCTGCTTTCTTATAAATATGTAAACTGCGCATCAGTTTGTCCATATATAGTTCACTTTGTGATTATAAATTATGATTATTCTGTCTATGAGAACTAGTTCATGGGGATCTGTGGAAGGGGCAGAGGAATGAAAAAACAATTTTTTTTTTGTGCGCTTAGGGCTTTTATCTCAAGAAAAAATCAGCATAAGGAACATTCTGTGATATGAGTAGAAGAGCACAAGTCACGTTATTGTGGTTAAATAATATTTTGATACGAATGGTTTCCTAGATAATAATTGAATTTAGAAAAATAAGCATGAAGATTTTTATTCGTATTCATAAAATGTATATTCATATTTCTACCTCTTTCTGCTGTAGGAGAAATTAAAATTTTGCCTTTTTCTGGTATTCACAAGCGTTGTGGGTTGTCCGTTAGGATTACAAGGAAGCATCCTTACTGGCAAATGTAGAAATTATAGTGTGATACCTGTTAGTTGGGTGCGACCTTTTGATGTTAAGAAGGCGCAGGGTTGAATTTCAGCCAATTTTGGCTGTTGACTATGTCGTAAAATGCCATTCTTTTTATGCAGGTATTACTCCTACCATCTTATTTCTTTTCCCTTTACTTAGTGCTCTGACAAAGCTACGGTTTGGCAGAGATGTTTAAAAAAAAAAAAAAAAAAAAAAAAAAAAAATGAAAAAAAAAAATTATGAGTGTATTTTAGGTTTTATATTTCTCACATGAAAAGAAAATGTTTCTGTAAATAGAGAAAGTACTGCCTTTTCTTGGAGAACTGTATGCAGTTCCTCAGAATATACATTTTTCCAATTCCTTTTGATGGTTTGGCAGTAGCCTCAGCATTTTAATTATTCTTAATGTATATACGATCATAATAATGGTTATGTTGTAATAAATTAGCTCTTGACAGGAGCACTTGCTCAAGTCTTTTTAAAATAATATAATTTTCTGTAGAGTTTCACTTTCTCACATCTACTGTGAAAGAATAATGTGCAGTGCTTCTGTCACAGAATGTACAGGTTTTTTTAGCATTTGACATTAAACATTGTCTTATACCTCTTTAAAAGTGTAGAAATAACTGTTATATTCATTTCACTAAGCTTCCTTAATAAATTGTTACATTGATTTTTATTAAGATTTGTATGGGATCTTTTTACCAATGTGCTCCTTTACTCCTGTAGATATTATTTCAAGCTGTTTGAGGAGCAATACTGTTTGCACTGTTTGTAATTTTGTAAAATTAATATTTTACGTCCATCTTTTTGCTTCTTTTTGAAATTCAAATTTAGTTTATATATATATATATGTGTGTATATTTTAGTATGTATATATATGTATATAAAATAAGCGTCTAGTTGCCAGTTAATTCTGATATAGGAAAATTCTCAATATATCCATGAAAATCTATGTGACAAAGTCCTGTCAGCCTGGAAGGCAAGGGAATAACTGAATATATTTGTTAAAATCGTTGTGAATGAAGCTGTCAAAATATGATCTGAAGCTTTGAAGCCAATGTGTTGTTGGATATCTTACTGAATTGATTGTACCTGACTGAGTCTAACTTTTTTTGTCTTAAAAATCAGTTAGGAGCCAGAATTTGAGATATCTGTGACTGTTTAATCTCGAAGAAAAGGACAGTGTTCTCTAAGTGTTTTGCAAACGTACTAATGCTTCAGAAGCACTTAAGTTGTATTTTGCTGGTAGCTAAATGGCCGACTTCATTTTGTCGGGTTCTTGTTTAAAATATATGTTAATAAATTTCAGAAACTATAAATAAAGCTTTAAAAGTGGACACAATTAGGCTTTTAGCAAAATTAATTGTCTTACTGCCTGGTAACCATTTTACCATTTTCCCTCTATGTAAGTAATTAAGCCAAAGAAGTCTTAACATCACCTACCGAAAAGTTCTGTAGGGACCCTTCTGGGATTCCCCCCCGGCTGAATTAATGTTTACGTAGTGGCTGTTAACATTATAGCGGCGCCTGTCTCGTCGCTACGTATAAAGTTGTGTCACTGATGGGATTATAAAACCTGAGGTTTAGGGCTTTTATAATTTGGTTGTAAAATCTTGCTCTGGACTGCTATCGGCAACATGTTTTTAGTTGAGAAGTTTGGGTGCTTTTCATCCAAAAAAAAAAAAATTAGTGTACTGAACTCTTAGAAAAATATTTAAAGCATCTGCCTACATTTTAAAAGTGATACAGTGCAACAGTGTGTGTTAATATAGAACATCTATACATGTATGTTTAGTGAGCTTGGAAACAGAAATGCGTTGCCATATATTGCTGAGAAAAGTGACCGAAACACTTACGTAAGAACAGTGTGGAATTTCTTGCGTTTTTGCAAATATTTGCATATTTGTTCTTCTGACAGCGCATTCAGTTGCTATTAGAATTCTTTGCTTGCCAGAAATGCCTAAGTCTTTAATCTGAATACATTGTAAAGGAAGAAGGTGCCAGCCCAGTAGTGGTAATAGGTATGGTATAGGCTGTAAATAAACAGCCTTTTTGTGATTTCTGTGGATTTATCCATTTAAATACTTTTTTTTTTTTTGAATGATAGCACGGTATAGTTAGACTGGAGATGAGAATTCCCCATCTCGAAAGGTTTTGCAGTTACTCAGACTGCCGTGGTATTGTAAGGAAGTTCGTAAATCACTGGGGGACAGCGGGAAGGGAGGGAAACAAAGCAGGCAAACAATCTTCTAACACAACAGCTGTTTTTGCAAACTTTACTCTTACTTCCTATAGGTAAGAAATTGAGGGAGCAAGCTCTTTTGTGGAGTGACTTCTCACATGCCAATTTTGTGCATCGAGGTGAAAAAACACAAGCTCGTACCGCTCACGTGAGCGTTTTGTGTTGTGATCTGGTAAGCAGAGCTAGTAGGGAAACAAATTATTTTGGTATTTTACTCCTCTGGAATGTTTATTGCTCTGAAATATGGAGCCAAGCTGTAGCAGTGAAGTAAAAAGAAATACTTTTTGTTTCCAAGACGAAGTTTGGGAAGTTTTGTTTCCAATCCGTCGCACTTCAACTGCTGTGATGTTGGGCAGCACCTGAGGTGTTTGTGGTTTTGTGCTAATAGCACGTACACATTTGCAGATTTGGGGGCTGCTACAGCCTTAATCTTTAGTGCTGTCCAAAAATAACCTCAGTGCAATGCCTCAAACCTGTACTGTCTACTACATGGCTATTAGAGGGGGGGAAAGCTCGGATTTTCAAGGTTGCCTAGCAGTGCGGGAGTCGATCTGTGGAGCATACTGTGGCTGTGGGGAGGTCGTGCCTGGCAGGTAGCTCAGGGCTGGCAGCTCTTGAGGGTGTTTTTCATGGGAAGCAGCATCT